GTGAAGCTCTCGCTCAGTAGATCCTATCACCTTCAAAAGTCAATATGTCCATCCAGGTTCCTTGTGCACACTTTAGAAGTATTTTATTTACTCTGTATTATCTCTGCTTATCCCTTCTGTCAAAAAGCATTACTTTGCACTTCTCCTTGTTGAATTTCCTGTTACTTGTCTACCCATTCTGATAGTCTGTGTCTTGTTGCAGGCAATTCATGCCATGCTCATTGTTGTCTACTTCATGATATTTGGTATTATTTGCAAAGATTAAAATTTTTCTCATTATTCAAAGATCCAAGTCATTCACATACTGCAAAAAGGAAGCAGTGGTCCTAGCACTACTCTTTGGGGAGCTCAACTATCAATCAGTCTCCAGTCTGAAAAATGAACATCTACCACAACTTGCTGTATTGTCATGAAGACTATTTTTAATTCAGTAGCAGGTTGGCCCTCTTATTTCATGAGACTCAATTTGGTTATGCAGCCTTTTCTTCCTGCTTTACCGTTTTGTACTTATGTTGTGCCTTCCTCAAATCCATATAGACAACAATCACCGCAATCTCCTCTTCAACTTGCTGTTACTCCAACACTAAAATCATTTAGGTTGGACAGGCGTGACCTGCTTTTCACAAATCCATGCTGCTTCTCCTTTATCAACTCAAAACCTCGCCAAGTACCTGTTAATAATTTTCCCCTCCAAAACCATTCCCACCACACATTTCACTAAACAGCCTGAAACAGAAGTAAACTGAAGATAGTGCTGCACTATACTGATTCATTGTTATGCACTGCTCATCATTTCAGTCTACTTTATCCCATTTCTTAAAAAAAACAGGTTTTTAATGTTTCTTCTGACAGATCAGGATATCAGTGCTTTCATGAAGATGTCCTTGAAACTTGTGACTGTTATTTTGGTTTGTGGGTTGACTCTTCTTGTCAATTTACCATCTGTGAACTCCTTCGATTACGGCAAGAGGCTTAAACCTGGAGGAACCACAGCCTTGCAATCCACACCTATAAAATTGCCCAGAGTCAACCAACAAATGACCTCCAGACCAATACTAAGGTGGCTGCAACTCAGAGCTAAATGAAGCATTGTGAAATAGACAGACGTAAAAGGACGGCGATATTTACCACTTCCAGCCACTACTCTCCAGTAATATAAGGTCAGTGAGAAATAAGATTGACGATATGCACACTTGTGGAAGATTTTTGTTAGAATTCAAGGATATGAGTATGCTCTGTTTCACTGAAACCTGGCTAAGTTCAGACATTGCGGACAGTCCAATTTATGTTGATAGATTTGATCTATTATGCCAAGATAAGTCTATTATTGCTACAAACAAATACTGGGGGGCGGGGGTCTCTCTGCACATATGTGAACAAATGATGGTACTGAAATTTCCACATTAAGGACCATTTTTGCTCAATTTCTCAAACCTATATTTCCTCTTTTTCTATCTATAAAACTAAGACTGATATGTGCAATACTTGTAGACTGGAACTGAAAATGCCATACAGTATTCAATATGACAACTGCGATACCGAAATAATTAGCATACTAATGGATTTAATTGGATTGCAATGTTGCAGCGTCCTGATATTTCATAATTTTAATATGCATTTACAACAATATTCATTTCCCATTTTCTGCATTTTCCATTTTCTTTCCACTTTTCTCTGTTTCTTCATCTCTCATAACAGCTTTCTCCCTGTTCTCCTTTTCACTATTCCCTCGCCTTCACGGACAGATTTATGATGTTACATTGTCCAGGCAGTTGATTTTGAAAGTACTGCAGGCTTTCAATAGTTTAATTGAGAAAATCTTTTTATGGAATAACGAAATTGCTGAACAAAGGATATATACGATAACATGCTGTGCACAATTGGAAGTATATCAGCTTTCTCAAATCTTCCTTTCAAATCCTATCTACCTCCAGCACTCTTTACTTCTTCCTTGTTTCTCATAGTTGTCGTTTTTGTGGAACGTGATTATTGTTTTTCTTGGGAGTGACATACTTTCTGAATTTTGGTAAGGATATTAGGGTAAGTGGTATAGTAACGTATGGAAAGTGGGCTTCAATTCTAGGGATCTTGTGGATTTTTATCAAGTACCTGTTCATTTTATTTTTTTTTAAATTTCTTTCTTGCCTCTGACTGCAGAGGATGATATCATGGATGGTAGGAGGATCGATTAGTTTAATGGGTCCTGTATTTACTACAGTTTACAAGGATGAGTGGGGGTCTGGTTTAAACACAAGATTCTAAGTGGGCTGGACAGACCAGATGCATGGAGGATGTTTTCTGTGGTTGAGGAGCCTGGAACCAGGGTGACAGTTTCAGGATACAGGATGGGCTGTTTAGGACTGAGACGAGGAAGCATTGCTTCACTCAGAGGGTGGTCAACCGGCAGAATTATCTAATAGAGAAGTCGGTGCGGGCCACGTCATTGAATATATTCAAGAAAGTGATGTTTTTTAAGATTGTATAGGCTTGAGGAGGTATGGGGAAAAAGTGGAGATATGGCATTGAGATAGCCATGATCATATTGAATGGTGGTGCAGGCTTGAAGTGCCAAATGGCCTACACCTGGTCATAGCTTCTATGCTTTACATTAAACAGTGAAATAATTTTAAACATATTTGATCAGAGGCAGATTTTTGTGATGTGATTTTGCTTTTTCATTATTAACTGTTCATTTTTGTGAATTTTACACGAATAATCAAAGTACTTAGAATCCCTACAGTGTGGAAGGAGGCCATTTGGGCCATCAAGTCTAAACCGACCTTCAGAAGAGCATCCCACCCAGACATCCCCATCCCTGTAAATCCACATTTACCATGGATAATCCACCTAGCTTACACACTTCTGGTGTCTGATTTAGTACGGCTAATCCACCTAACTTGTACATCTTTAGACTGTGGGGAAAAAAAAAACACTCAGAGGAAACCCACACAGACACAGGGAGAACGTGCAAACTCCACACAGACAGTCGCCCGAGGCTGGAATCGAACATGGGCCTTGGTGCTGTGAGGTAGCAGTGCTAGCCACTGAGCCACTGTGCTGCCCCAATTGCAATAAATTTTTCATTGTCTATTCAGAAATTAAAACAGTTGCCAGGACTTCTTTACACTCTTGAGTAAGAGTGCAACATTTTGTGTTTGAAAGTGCCTGATTTTGTGTTTGAAAGATGTACCAGATATAGTGGCTACCGTTTTCATGATCTCTCAGATTCGACAATGGTCACAGGGGATTGCAGTTTAGCATATGTAACACTATTATTCAAGAAAGGAGGCAGCGAGAGGTCTGAGAAATACAGCTCAGTTAGCCAGAATTCTGTCATTAGGAAAATGCCAAAATTGATTACTAAAGGAAGGCTTAATGATGCAATTAGAAAATCACAATTTGATCAGGAAAACTGATTTATGGTTTTACAAAAGGGAAATAGCATTTGGCAAATATATTGAAACTTTTATAAATGTAACTAGTAAAACAAAATTGAAGGAGAACCATTCGATGGCATATATTTGGATTTCCCAAAGCAATTGAATAAGGTGCCATAGAAAGGGCTAATTAACAAGATAAAGGGTGCACAGAATTGGAATTAAGTATGGTTAGGGAATTAGCTAACAGACAAGAAGCAGATGTTACGGATGAATGCAGCATTTTTGAGTCGAAAAACTTTAAGTGATAGTGCTGCAAGAATCAGTGCTGTGGCCTCACATATTTACAAGTTACATTATTCTTAGATGGAGACCAAGAATAATCTAGGATGCTGACAATACAAAGTCAAGTAGGGATGAAAACTGTGAGGACAACACAAAGACTGCAAAGAAAAATGCACAGGTTAAGTGAATGGGAAACAGCTGGCAGTATAATATGCATAAGTATGAGGGTTATTAATTTTGGTTCTAAGAATTAAAAAAGTAGACTAATTTTTAAAAGGTATTAATTTTTAATCATGGATGTTCAAAGCGACTTGGGTGTACTTATGGACCCATGGATACTGTTAATATACAGATACAGCAAGTAATTAGGAAGGCAAGTGTCACGTTGGCCTTTGTTGCAAGAATACAAAACAAGCATGTCTTGCTACAATTTTACAGATCTTTTCTAAGACCATACTTGTGAAAATTTGGTCTCCATTCATAAAGAAGATAAACTTACATTAGAGGCAATGCAACAATGTTTCATTAAATTGGTTGCTAGGATGAGAAAGTTATCCTATTGAGAGACTGAGTAACTTGGTCCTATAATCTCAAAACTGCAGAGCGTGTGACAGATGATATCATTTAAACATTCAAGATTCTGAAGGCACTCGACAAAGTGGACTCGGAGATTGTTTTCGCTGGCTTAGGAAACTAGAACATAAGCACAGTCTCAGGGTAAGAGGCCAATCATTTTGGACCGAGATAAGGAATTTTTTTTAATCTCAAACAATTATGAATCTTTGGCAATATCTATCTCAGGGGGTTGTGGATAGTCCAATCATTGGGTCTATTTAAGAATGGGATCGATTTTTAGAATCAAACAAAAACAGTAATGTGCTGGAAAGTGGAGTTGAAGTAGAAGATTAATTGCAACGTTATTGTGTGACGGAGCAGGCTAGAGAGTCCACATGGTTACTCCTGCTCCTAGTTCCTAAATTCTTGTATTCCTATACAGCCTAGGGGTTCCAACTCATTCCTAAGTACCAACCACTTGTTCACCGTGGCTACTGATGCTCTTGTGCTTCCTCCCAAACCTCTTCCCAGCTTCTGCCGGCAACTAAGTTAACCTATTTTAAACTTATTTTGTGTCGTGTTGTAATGGCTTTCAAAACAAGATTCAGCAGCATCAATCTACACCAGGTCAAATCAAAAGTAAAAAGATGATTCAATCTTCTCTCTTGATGAAATCATTTACAGTTTTAAAGGTACAGGAAGAGGTTTCCAAGTTCCTATTTTCAACAAAGCAATGCCACTGTCTCATTATAAATGACATTATCAAGAATATAGCTTCTGTACCTGAAGTTTGCTCTCTTGGTACAGTGTCTTTCACTTGTTCTCCTTTCAGTACTGCCACTGCCTCAGCTGTGACCTCCTGTACAATCCTGGCAGAGATCACTTCTGCTGGACAGATATGAGGAAAGTTAGTTTGTGAATGTGATCAAGTTTGTTTTGACACTTAAGCCTCCCAAATAAACATGAATAAATACAAAGTAGTGTTGATAAGTCAAAGTAAATTCAATTCAATTGACCAAATAAGATCAGGAGAATTAGATGCACAAGTTGGGCATTGAATCAATTAAGCCCACTCTGCCAATAACATAATCTGATATTGGCCTTAACTTCACTTCCCTTTCTAGCTCTTCCTGCTACTGGAGTTGGACGTGAAACAATCTGCTCTCTGAATTTGCCTTTTGTCAAGGATGTGTTTATGGGATGTTAATATATTGGAACAATTGATTTGTAATAGTTACTATCACTAGTTTTATTCTATTAAGTTACATAACATTATTCTATTAAGTTTTCCAACCGATTTAAGTTATTCCAATGCCTTCCTTCTTTAGTTGCGTTTAACTATTGTGGATGAATGAAGTGTGCTTTTCTTAAAACACAGTAGTTTGACCAACTGAATTGTATCTGGAACATAACACCTTACATTTACCTTGAAAATAAAAGTTACAGTCGAGACTATCTTCTGAATATTTTGAGGGGGTTTGATCTGATCCATAATACCTGTCTATTCATGTTCAAACATTTGACAAGAACAATTTGTACAGATTTCAGATGGTTGTAGATAACTTGATAAAGCTATAAAGGAGAGACTAGATAGACTTGGATCTTTTTCTTTACAGCAGGGAAGACTGAGGGGGTGACATGAGTGAGGTGTATAAGAAAATGAGGAGTATGGACAGTGTAAATAGACAGCAGAAGTTCTCCTTTGCTAAGGGATCAATTACCTGAGGGCATAGTTTTGGGGTAAGGGGCAGGAGATTCAGGGGGGATTGGGAGGGGAAGAAAAAAACCTTATTCACTCAGCGGCTGGTGGGAATCTGGAATGCACTGCCTGGGAAGGCAGAGGATGCTTTTGATGTTATTATGAAATGCAAATATGCTCGATTTAGGGCTGTGGCAAGGATTTTTTGATGGGTACCAGGAGTCCAGGTACACGCTCAGAGTGGCAACATGAAAGACTGCGCGTGCCCTATGCTTCGATTATTATCTGGGTCATTAGGAGAGAAATTGCACAATTATGAAATTTGCAAATGGAGTCCATGGAACCAGGACTGGTGTGAAAACCAGACGCATTTGATCCAGAACAGCCGTGGAAGGCAAGGCAACTGCCAGGATTAAGAGTTACATGGTCAGCTGGAGGTAGAAGAAGTCCATTGTGAAAAAGGTGCTGCTGTTGCAGACTCGCAGCAGTTAGGATTCAGCAACACCTACTGACACTTAGGACTTGGCTAACTTGTTGCGGTTGGGACTTCAGAAAAGCCTCTAAACCATTAATTGTTTACTGCAGTTGTGAATGAGGAAGATACTCACTGCTTGGTGCAGCCGCAAGAGAAACTCAGGCTAAATTAGTAAAGTTAGCTGTCTGCAGGAAAGTTAGAAATGTTCCTATGACTAGGTGTTGGAAGGCAGTTTCCAGAATTTACAGGAGCATAATCCCAGAAAAGAAGAGTGAACAACCAGGAAGTGAGTAGTCATTGAGGTAGTCCATGGAGGAGCAGTTTATAAGGAATTCCAAAGCAGTTACCTCGACTGCTTGAATAGTTCGTGTGGGATGCAGAGTGAATCCAACAGTGCAGGGTCAATTCCCATACCAGCTGAGCTCAACATGAAGTCCTTGCCTTCTCAACATAGTCTCTTGCCTGAAGCATGGTAACCCTCGTGTTAAATTCATGAGCCTCTGTGATTATGACAACTTTCACTTCATTTCACCCATAGTTATTCATGTTAATTCTGTATTTCTAGAGTAGCAGTTATATATGTATATACTTACTCTTCTAAATTTATACAGTAAAGCTCATCACTGTTCATTCCGAACTACAAATAGAAAACAAAGCCACAAGAGTACAAGTACCTGGAATCTCATACTTGACAACTTCTAAAACAGTAATAATCTCTAACAAACCATAACACAAATTTGACAGCCTGGTCTGGGGATCTAAACAATATTCTACAAGTTATAAATAATTATTTGTTCCCTTTTAAACTCTCAATAAAAAGGAACCTAAACATAATCCACAAACTTCTCACGGAATTCAACTCCACCTAATTGAAGAAATACCTTCTCTATTTGACACTGTTGTCTTATGGAGGGCTTCTGTGAAAATAAATGTTCGCTGATTGTAAAGAAGACATTTCTCATTTAACGCTATTTCCTATTTTTGCCACTTTGAGGTTTTCCTAAACTGTCACCAATGAACTCTGTCTGAATGCGGGACACACAAAGGTACATTGAGACAATTTTCTGACCAACATTTCCTCTCTCGCTCCTCTTGGCAATTATCTAGTTTTTGTTCAGTATCTGTTTGTATTAGAATAGGCAGGACTGCAAAAACGGTGCAGTGGAGCAATAGCATCTCTTCACTGATGTGAAAATGAACATCAAACCGTTAGCAAACATGCTCGATGTTGTAACTGTGGTCAAACAGTTAATGACAATTTGTTTTACACTCTACCTTCTCTGGTGATATCAATTCAAACTTGCTGCTGGATGTTATTTTGAAACAGAAAGCACTGGATTGGGCCAAGCAGTGAATTAAGAGCATTGTTCACACCATTTTCTCCCCCCCGTGGGGTTCAATCAAAGTTCAAGAGTGGAAAGGGATGAAGTCATGAGAACTAACAGCAGTCCAGAATGAAACTTTTTTTAAACAGAAAAAGATCATTGTGGGCATTAGAGGCAAATCTGACATTTATTACCTATCCTCATAATGGAGTTATTTGTTAGGTTATTTATGAGGACAGTGAGTGGGGATTAGTCACAAAGAGATCAGGCCAGCTGAGCGAAGCAGGTTCCGTCCTTTATGAACAAGTTGCTTTTTAAATGACATTTTGACAACTTCATAGTCATTTTTATGTGCTAGAAAAGTACTTCTGTCCATTAAGCTGATGCCAGCTCTTTAGTTTCAGAGATAGTAGGAACTGCGGATGCTGGAGAATCTGAGATAACAAGGGTGTAGAGCTGGATGAACACACCAGGCCAAGCAGCATCAGAGGAGCAGGAAGGCTGACGTTTCGGGCCTAGACCCTTCTTC